TCAGGAAAAATGCGGGCACTGACAGAAGAGTTCCCTAGCATGTGGCTTGCTAAGAGAACATTTTCCAGGTCGCGTGTGTTGCCAAACGTTCCTCGCAGTAACCGAGTTTTCCCTACGTGTGTAGATGATGGATTTCGTGAAAGATGTGTAAGACTAGTTGGGCGAACTTTCAGTCCGAGTGCGCAGGTTATTTCAGCCCACCGGTTTTGCTCCTCGGCTTGTCTACCTTTTGGCGATTCGCTAGTGGGTTCTGGGACGTTTGAACATAGCACTGTCATCGCCTTTTGGTTGCGTAGTAATTGTTTGTTTTTCATTTCCTTGTGAGCGTAGGTTTATCGATGGGGGGTGTCTGGCTTGTCTTCCTTGGAAGATAGGCCAAAGCTATAGCAAGAATTTTTACGTGCAACGCCGTTAGTTGCACTATCTGTAGGGGTCAATTATTGTTGCCCAGCTACTGACGGAGGTGAGCGTGCAATTTGTGCGTAACTCTGCATGCTTTGGCGCATTACGTGAGACTTGGGATACCGTTCAAGCGACCTGTTTTCACTGCTGTTTTTCACTAACGGTGTTTGCCTTTCGCTGGACTGGGTAGCATTGTTGCTAGAGAGCTTTTGCCTTTTAACAGGTCGGGGATTCGGGCTACGTAATGCACTAATCTGCAACTCGAGTTCTGAGATTTTCCCTCCCAATACCGCGATCAGTTCCTTTTGGTCTGCAGACGTAACAGCCAATGCTTCACACCTTATCGTAAGCGTTTGAACAATCTTAATTATCGGACTATCTGAACATATGTCACAAAACCACAAGCTATCTGTCGATACGCTGTTAGCTCCGTTAAGTGTAATGTTCACATTTGTCGCGTCATATGAATTGGCACAGAACGAACACGTGATTTTCGAGCGGATTTCAGTTCCTCGCTTGTCTGAGCTACGGTTGACCTTAGGTCTGTTGCTCACTGGATTCCCGGTTGACAAACTTCTCCGGCCCATGGATCAATGGTCGGTATGCACTTTTGCTCCATCAGTGCATAATATCTACTGCTACGCTCCAACTGTTTGTTGCAGATAAGCCTATCACTTCCAGTGGTTAGACTTTGTGGACTGACCCAGTTATCTCTTGCCAGTCAATCCTGGTGTCTCAGAATGGAAGGACCATAGACTACACTTATCACGGTCCTCGTGATTGTGCTAGGCCCAAAGAGTGGTTCATCCATTATGGAATAGGCTACGGCCCAGCCACTGTTTTTTGTACGTCTGGTACGCATGATTTCCCAACTACATAGACAGGAATGCTGCGGCCGCGCAGGTTGAAGGAATGTGGGACGACAGTTGATGAGATGTGGCTCCCATCCACGTACCTCCCGGTCCTATTGCTTCGGATTTACACTAGATCTGTAGTGCGTCGATGGAGTTATGAGTGGTGCAGCGTAAGTCACCCATGGTCCCTGTATGGGCACATGCCTTCTGTAGTTGTGATCGATGGTGGCTAGTCTGCTTCTATGCCACACTAACACACGAGCAGATTAGGTGTGGAGGTGCGGGTGAAACCTATGCGGGGACTTCCCCCCAAGGAGACAGTGCTAGGGACGATCGTATTACTTCGCTTGATCATTCCTACAACACTTCCCTCTGTGCTTTGAATCCGTTGGACTCTTGTTCCTAGAGAATTAAATAATACATTCTTTTTTGTTTCATCGACATCGACTATTAATTTATTTCTTAGACTACGTCTATGGTTTTATTGCAGTGCCTTTCTTTTCCTTCTTCTTTCTGTGCCAAAAGTCGGTTAACTATTTGTATGCATTCCTAAGCACCCTGTGTTCGATATTTTATATATGACCGTAATGTGTTCATCATGTCTTAATGAAAGTGTATAGCATTCCGCAGAAAAACCGTTTATTCAGTTAGTTATCAATTTATCTGGTCAACCCACCTCAACAAGTTTTACGTTACACGCTTGAACAATCCATAAATCCTCACCTATAAGTGAACAATGAACAATGATTTAGTACGGTAACAATGCAAGTGCATGACACGTCCCGTAGGATGGTTGAGGTGAATACGATGAAAGTACAATATATGCGAGTCATCTACCGAGATAAATCCGTTGATAAATAACGTTAATGTAAAATAAAAATTGAGTGTAAACATACAGAAATACACGGCATGCAGTGATCGTTGAGGTAAAGCGTGAGAGAAGTAAACTATGATCGCTCAGTTTTGCGCCCCCTCCTTGGGTCCATATAACACATGAATCCGGTAGAAGGACACGATTAACGTAATTTACAATGGTGTATTTTAGATGAGGAAGTGCCGGGAAGTAAGAACAACATCTAATCGTTTTTTGAGACTGTCCAAAGTAGAGGAGGATGCAACTAAGTCTGGGAGTGCGTTCCGGGGTTAGCGAACCCAAAGGAAAAAGTAATTCCGTCGACGCTCTAGACGGCTATATTCTTTCCTCAATTTGTATACCGAAAAAGAAGCAATTGGACCCAGTTAGTCTCACAACGCTGCACACAGTACAGTTTGTTTGATCGGGTCAATTCAATCTCTAGATCTCGGAATATCCAGGTAGTTCACTCTGCATTAACTCGCCCCCATGTGCTTGTTACCTTTCATTACTCGGCTAACAAAGCTGATGCCCTGAAGATTCGTATGCAGCTACCTTGATGTATTGATCTTAGTCCTCACTTTTCGTTCGCATATGAGTAAAGTTGCACCAAGTACAGATAACTTGCGCTGTATCACTCTAGACTATTATACAAGAGTGTGCGCTACTCGTGTGAGTTTGGTTGGTAGTTCCAATTGCTTTATCCCCCTTTCACGTTTCATTCCTTTAAGCGAGCCTGCCGCCTTCATGGTATCCCCGATATGTACCGAAATCAAAAACAGGATGCTCATGTTCTGATAGGAAAGATCAGTGAAAACCCCGAAAAATCAGCTAAAGCATACCTATTGCATCCCTGCATAACCCCCCAATGACAACCCTGCATGCGTTAGCATGTCGCACATGTAAAAATGATCCGTTCCTTTATGAGCACGGTTTATCGGTTGCAACAGAAATATACATCATTATGTTATAGTATATGGAGGCGAGAGTGACACGAATGCTGCCAACCACATAATGATACATTTGTGATGTAGAAGAGTGCGTGCAGATGGAAGAGTGAGTTGACGGGCTCGAATGATCTCGCTGATTCTGCAACGAGTTATTACTCAACATAGTAAACCAATTACATACTCGATTCAAGTAGAAGAAAATAGCCGTTATATTCATGAACAAAAAGTAAAAATTTGATTTGCTGGGTTTTAATAGCGACTGCGTGCATGAAGAGTACAGATCAGTATTAACATAATGTACATCATGCATGTAGACATTCAGTGGAAAGAGTTAAATTGTGTAAGGCTGCTATCAGTAGTGCACATATTCAAGAAGTCTATAGGTCGTAAATCGGCGATATGATTTGGAGTTTTCACTCCGATTTATGTGGCTTGAAATCTGGGCCATCTTCCCGATGGAAAGCACCAATTTGACTTGCCTCCCCGGCATTATTTTACGACTGAAGATTGCGTGACACGTTCCAGTGGATGTAGGTAAGTGTGTCTGCAGGGGCGGAATGAAAAATATACGGCACATACTAGTGCAGCTAAATGGTCGCAGTTACCAATTTGTCTATGTGTAGAAAGTACAAGCCATTCGGGAGGTTGAAACGAATGAGTCTGATGAATTCATCTGTCTTTGACAAGGTGACAACTTGCTGTTTACGCAGTTACGTACAAAAGGATAATGAAAATGAAGAGAGCAAACAACATTACCTAACCTCTTAATTTCTGCGTGGACATGAGGGCTGAAAACTAGGCTTGACATATGGTAAAGTAAATGCTGGATAGAAGCAGACGGCGAAAAGAATGAAGACATTAAGTTTAGGTAAAACCATGAGTGTTAAACATATCAGTGTGTCTGTTTTACATAAACAGGTGGTACATCGTCAAGTCATGCGATACGAAAGTGAAAGTTGAAGTAGCCGTGAAAGACAAGGTGAAAGTTTGGACTTGCATGTCCAATTTGCGGTTGTGCATATGAATCTCACCGACATATGGCGAATGGTTGAGTACATGAATGAGGCGTGCAAAACGAAATTACATACACGAAGTATCATTTTCATCAATGCATGCATGTCTTCACATGCTCATTGTTAGAACAAGCAGAGAAGGAAGATGTGATAGCGATGGAATGGCGCTTCGAATTAGTGAATTTGTTTTCTCATTCTATGACATTGGGCGCTTCCTCATCTAGCATGGCTATACTTACATCCATGTTGAGCATATGTATTTACGTTATTCACTGTCAATTCTCTGTTTAGTAGAATAAGGGAAATCCCCTTTGTATCGCAATTTCTCAAGGTCTGAATTCGCTTGTTCCACACAACTGTGTAGCGTTTAAGAAAGAAGTCTGCTCCGGAGCTAGTTCGTGTTATTTTCGGCTAGTATTATGTTACCTCAATACCTTAGATTGTAGTTAAGGAAAGTGGAAGTACCACATCGATGTCTAAAGACATAAAACACAATTTCAGTTTTAGACTTCTTATCCAGGGTTCTATTTTCATCTCACAAGCCGCTTTCAGTGAATTACCACAAGGCTAAATACAGCACATCCATATAATAAACGCAATAAATGTTCCACTAAAGAAAGAGAGAATTAAAGTGCGAAAATGATCACGGAGATGAGATCTTTTCTCACAGAGGCTGTATGGTTGGCAGAACACACAGGTCGATCGTCACGAAGTAACGGCCACCGGTTGTGGGGTGAAAATGAGATATTGTGTCTTCTTGTCTCATGGAGACATTTGATTTGATGTTCCATGGCTGATCGATCAAATGCAGTATGAAAAACTCCAAAGGACGATTAGTGCCAAGAAGGAGATTCTGACTTGGTCTTTTTGTGTCGATGAAGATTATCGCACATATAATGTTAAGTTTTATCCTTCTTTTCATGGTCAGAGCCAGAGAATCTCGCATCACAAATGTCCATTCGTGACGCCAGCGAATACAGTGAGCCTAAACCTGAAACCGAGATGACCGAACTGGAACAGAAGTTGGCATTAGCCAAGGAAGCAGCGATGCAAAATCTACCCAGAAATACCTGGGTACCGAGAGCACCAATACCTCCAGAAGCAAGAGGACGCGGAACAAACCGCTGGGACTATTTCGCGTGCACGCGTCTCGGAGCCGACGAATGGTTTCGCCTTCCACCTGCTAGACCGGAACATATCTTTTATTCAAGATTCATACGACGTTTGTTCACAGGAAAACCAGACGCTCCTGTCCCCAGACCACCCGGAGGTATGGGTGACTTTCCTGGGTTAGAAGTACATTTGTTACGGGCCGTGATAGCTCGAATAACAGCGTCAACATGGATTTCTCCGGCGGGTATGTATGAAATCGACGAGGAAGCCGAGGTGGAGGAAGGAGTGAGTCTGATCAACGAGTCTGGTTTATGTCAATCACAATGAGCACCGTTAATGTCGCGCAGACGGTTATGCCTTGAATCTATTAGCTTAGCAACTGTTAGTCGAGAATGGAGGGCGAAATAAATAACAGTATGTGTATGGATAACACCGCCCAGTTACCTGATGTACCACTGCAACTTCCATGCGCAAGCTTGAGAAGCTCCTGCCTTTTCCATCCCTTTTGATTTAAGCAGAAAACTGGAGGATAGTTGGGAGATGTGTCACGACCAAACCCAAGCAGATAGACACCACATATCCGGAAATCGCTGGGCGGCCGTTTCCTTCCATTAAGACTCGTCACTAGCTTGAGGCCCCCATGACTTTAATCTTACGAGTCAGGGACTTTAGCTACTGAACCTAGGATGACGGCGGCGGACCACCGCGAATTTTTACCAGGTGCGCCAGGCTGCTCATCCTTCATTATCATGCAAGCCCTGAACATGCGGAGGACAGGGCTAGCCCCCAGATCTACTACCTCCGTTACAACCTACCACTAGTCTTAGTGGCACACAAGCTGTTAGGGTGGTTACAGGTTATTAGTCTAATAGTTGGACGAACCAGTTGTCCGATGCTTTTCCAGTTAGGTGCTGGCTACCTAACTGAATCTGGCTGTGACGAACGTTCACCTGAACAGAAGGCTGTTTGTGTTGGGAACACGAAATAACTAGCTCTCAGGCTAGGTTGCTTGGGTTAGCATGAAACGGGGATGGAGTCGCCCCAGCTAGGCAGTCGAATTAGCCGTTAAGTTTGTTACCGCTGCACTTAGATAGCGCATCCGTCAAACATTCAGGATACATTGTTCTGCTTGATGTGCACATAGTGCATTGTGTGGTTAGAATGTGAAACGGTGGCGGAGTAGCTCATTCGCTAAATTTCATGAACAACTAAGTGGATTGGAAAGATTTGTTGCTTTCGTCTTTTAATAAACAGGAGCAACCGGAGACACTTATGGAAGTGGAAGAATTTGAACCACCCCAATTTGAAGAACTTCTAGACCCTGCCAACTGGCAACACACAAGGCCCTACATCCTACCTCAAGGACGATGTAGCTTTGTATCACAAAAAAGAGCAACAGCCGCACTTCGGCAAGCTATGAATGATCCCGTGGAAAAGGAATGGATTGATCCAAGCGTGGCAGTTCGTTGGGAAGCTAAGTTCCAGAACCAAGTAGACATTGATGAAGCAATGGAGGAGGAGGGCGGTGAAGCGGAAGAGCCAGAAACACCACAAGAAGGCCCCGGCCTGCTCGGGACAATAGAGGAAGACGCTGTACTCACTGCGTTGGGAGATGTTGGGCTGCCAACCGGCAGAGCCACAAAATCCAGCCGCCCACTAAAGTTGACTTCCCGTCCGTTACCCGCTTGGAGAGTGTATCCATCCACGGTGTTGTTGCCAAAAAACTGCGCTGTTGCCATCGTCAGCTCTGGACGTTGGCCAGGTGCTTACACTTTGGCAAGAGGAGCGTGAGTATTCGTTAATTCTATCGGATAACGGTAACGGTACATTTTCCCTCAGCTTAAACAGTTGTTTGAAATATCTTATATCGATCGCAGCTAGTTAATTCAAGGGGATGAACCGGCTACTTTTATCCGTTATCTCGGATTTTTGACAGTACTATCTAGAGTAGCTTTGGGAGAAAATAGTGACGCTATGGAAGGCCAGAGTAGTCACCCGGAAACGTCGTAGCGTTTTCGCTATATTTGTTGTACTGCCATTTTTCATAGATGTATTTCCGTGACTATCGATACCCCGGTGAACGCGCAAACATGGATTGAACAGTCATTGTCCGAGTAACATGGTTCGGTCGAGCCAAAAACCATGTATCCAATAGACAGCAAAGGAACCTGGGTAAATGTTGAACGATTGGTAACATCTGAAAACTTGCTAACAAGCTTGATATTCACAGTTATGCCGAAAGCATCTACAAATGTCTAAGTTCGTTCACGCGTTGTATGAAATGGGAATTGCGTTAGCGTCACCAGTTCTCATCCCCAATCCACTCGAAGGGTCTCGGGGCTCGGCTCTCGTGTGAATCATCAGCTACAAGTAACCTAAGCCGAGAACTCAAATGTAGGCTTTGATGCAGACGGAAACCTGTAGCATCAACTGAGAGACTATACGATACATGGAAAGCTTCAATTGAACTACCAATTGCGTTTGGATTACGATACTTTAACGCAGTTGAAGCCACGAATTAAGGCGATGTAAATCGCTGAGGCAGATGCCGATGAGAAGCAACATTATCGGTCGAAAGAGTTGTAAAATCAGAATCATGGGTTTCACGCCAACTAAACATTGTGAATAGCGTTAAGCGGGGGTTGCAGGTCTACAGCAAATGTACAAATTAATATTTGGTTGAGATGAGAGACAGGTTTCAGGTTATCCATTATCCTGAACGTAGCTTCACGGTTCATGCATTCTGTGTCCAATATATCGAGGTGCATCAGTTAACAATGTAAAACTAGATAACAGCGTAGTGGTACAAGTTAGAAAGAGACCTCGAATAGGCAGTGGTACAATTTGTTGATACCAACATGCTTTCTGACTGCATCATGTACAGTAAGAAGAACTTCGTAAAAAGAGCTGCTTTGCATAGCCGCTATACAGTTAATGCCAAGAAAGTGTATGGTTTTTCAAGTGTGAGAAGTGCAAGCAAGGTAAATGGGCACAAAACCTAAGTGTACCATTGTGCCGTTCAAGTTGTAAAGGAGATACTGAATTGATACCTGGTATGTTTTGAGTCACCTGCTGGTAGATGCACATTTCTGAGACACCTGTATAGCTGAGTGCATAATCTTTTTTGAATTTCAGAGATTTTATTAACGTATACATCGGATGGGGTCAAAAGAACCTGGCTTCCAATTTCACCCCAGCATGGAACACAAAAGTGATTGGAGAATTTGATGAAGTCGCCGTACCATTAGGCGAAACAACGGATCCAACGCCATTAGAGGAAGAGGCGGTTCGGGCAGCCAAGGAAGCCAGGCGATTAGCACGTGAGGCTAAAGCCGAAGAGGCGGAAGAAGAAGGGGGTGAAGAGGAAGCAGGCGAGGATTAGAAAATGGAGCAGTTTACTATCAAGGTGGCTTGACATCGTCCCGCGGGTTATTCCGTTTTCCCGCTCCCACAATTCCGTCAAGAGAATAGACGTACTGAATTGAGCGATGTACTAAATACAACCACTTCAAATTGCAATATTTTGTATCAGGATATAATTAGCGGATGATCTCAAAAAAGAAGCAGGTTTAAAAAAGTTGATTACTAATTCGCTGTAACAGTATGCCTAGTGCACAAATGTAGACCATTTGGTAGGTTTGGCTCTGAAGACCTGAGCTGAGGCTCGGAATGAACCAGTGATGGTTAAAAAGGAATTAAACTGCGAAATGACTGTAAATCCTATTTTTGATAAAGTGAACTGGAGCTTATTAATCGGAAGGCCAAATGTGATCATAAAGTGGAATGCGAAGCTTAACAAAGGACACTGAACTTCAATCTTGGAGTCTTCCAGGGGTCGTGAATTAGGGATGTAGGTTGGCCTGAAATGAGTGACCTAATCTTGATCCGTATAGGATGATAAATTAACAAAGCCATAAAATGCGAGTTGTGCCGGATATCTATCCCAACAACCAAAAGGGCATAAAGCGAACAACCATTAACCTGATCTCCATTAAGTAGTTACCAGGATACGCAAAGCTTCATTACGCATCATTTGTGGACATCGTACAGAACTTTTGAGGGAAGAACGGCCAGTCCATTCTGGCATTCCATGGTTAGTCTTACTGTTCTTTGTCCGCTTACAGAGAATCGTAAGTGGAAGTCGATAAATCACTAGTAATGCAGATCAACATCTTATGCTAACTTCTGTGGCAAAGAGATATAAGAGGTGGAGCCTGACATCTCCAAATGCTGAGTCCATAGTGGCATACTACATGATTGGGAGAATGGGTTCTAAACTAAGGATGACAAGCAGCGATGCCTGACACATCCCAAGCTAATGCGGCAATTAAACCTGAAAATTTTCCGGAATTAAAATGCAGGAACTTCTAATACATCGGTAAGACCCTTCTAATGGTAATCATATCATGCAAAAGCATAACTTGGGATCAGATTTTAACATATTGTGTGTAGTGACTCTGCGAGTAAATTAATGAAGTGTGGGGGGCCACTTAACTTGTGGTGCGCCTTATGGCTTAGATCAGATAGTCATCATGAGATTACCATCCCGCGCGTGAGAATGGGATACTCATGTACAGTAAACCTGCAAATCAAAACCGTGCAATTCAAAATACGCTGGGTCAACGGGTACTGTGTTTGCTGATGTACATTCAAAATATGCGTGACGCTTTGATGTCATCTGCGTTGGAAGACCACCATAATCTGCAGCAATGCATTAGCGTTAAGTACGAAAAACCTGATATCAGTCGAAACAAGTTTTAAGGCACCACTAATAAGGACAGCGGTGAAATATGGCACTTGGAAGTGCTGTAGTGTATCGGCTGCTTAGCACGCCTAAACCGAGCATAGGAACACACACATACGAACAGTCCGCAATGAAGATGCTAAAAGGAAATGCTGGATAAAAAGCACGTTTGCTTGTGGTTTGTTACAAGCACCTATCCACTGAAATCTATGCTGTTGTTTTTCATTATGTAATCGATCGGTATCATCATCGTTTGTCAGATCACTTCAACAATGGGCAGTAAACAGTAATTTATCACCAGTCGAAGAAACTGTTTACGTCTCGTAGTTTTGTCGGGAGGAAAAGGGCCAAACCAAAGGATACATGCGCTGCACCTTAAGAAGGCTATTCACGTGTCTGTAAAGAAGCTTGTGGTTCGAACAGAATCGTTTCGATAGCTCCTGTTGGGGTGTTAACTTGTCTTCACGAACCAACTGCATAGTGTAAATATACTGACCTATGTACGCTGGCCAGTTTTCTGAACTGGGATTGTTTTGTATACACACCAAGTCCGATCCCTCAAGGCCATAAATTTCCGTGTTCGGTTTCTCAGAAAGGATTTTGGTTTAGGAAGACGATGGAAAGCTTTTGATTCTGATGCTTTAGCGACTTGTGGCGTGAATCTTTTCAAGCTTTCCAAGCTTATTTCTGGGGTGCACTCAGTCATGTATGTCCAACTAGCTTTTTCAACAAATGCGTACAGAACGTGGTAATGTGTAATATATCGCATCTTTTCGGGCTCTGCATAGGGGTATCCGGTGTAGTAACTGTAAACAAACAATAAAGTCACGCGATCGCTTCGACCTAAACGACTGTAAACGTTTGGCCTATCAACCGTGAGTTCTTCGCTGGTGAGCACTAGATCTTACTTTGTTGGCTTATTTGTTCTGAACCTGGTGGAAGCGGTGACGTGGTGCAATAGGTGAGTGCAAGAGATTAGCTCTTGCAAGTAAGCTCTGCTCCGTTTTCTCTCGGTTGCTGGGTTTTGCCAGATCATGGATGTTGAAATCTCTTTAAATAAGGATTTGGGTCTATTTCTGTTTTATCACTATACCAAATGCGTATATTAGTCTGTGGTCCATCCCCAGAGTAAATTTTGCTAGTCCGTAAACTACGGACATAAGGCATGTGTCATCGTCCTTCAACCACAGTTTACACGAAAGGAGATGTCACGTACGTTTGAGGATTGTCCGTGTACTCACAACGAAAGATTGTTTTGTTATAAATGATCACCCCCTCCCCCCCACTATCATTGCATTTCTAGACGTACGTGCCGCTTTTGACTCCGTTGATCGACCGGCTTTATGGCGTTGCTTACTAAAGAACGGGGTGCCAGAGAAATATACCGCCATCTTACGAGCACTTTACCTTCATACATCCGGCAGACTGAGGGACTATAGCAATCGTTCCTCGCAATTCGATGTCAATAACGGTGCGCGGCAGGCTGCCCTATGTCCCCATTCCTCTTCAACTTCGCAATCGAAGACGCTCTGTCGAATGCTCTAGAAGGTTTCCAACATTTTGGCTTAGAGCTTCTACCGGGTGAGCGCGCGACCGACTTAGATTATGCTGATGATATCGCCTTACTTGGTGACGATCCTCAGGGTATGCAACTCATTCTGGATCGTTTGGTGGTTGAAGCATCTAAGTATGGCATGAGCTTCGCCCCATCGAAGTGTAAAGTACTGCTTAAGGATTGGCTTTCACCTGCTCCCGTGCTCACTCTCGACGGCGCATAACTTGAACAGGTAGATAGTTTCGTCTACCTTGGGAGCTGTGTTTCTGCTGACGGCACTATCAACAAAGAAGTTTCTCTTCGTATCGCTAAAGCTCGATCAACATTTGTCAATCTGAGACATTTGTGGCGTCGTCGCGACGTCTCATTCTCACTAAAGGGCCGCGTTTACAGCGCATCAGTTCGCTCAGTATTGTTGTATTGGTGCGAGTCCCGGCCGATTCATATGGAAGAAATGCGTCGTCTTTCTGCCTTCGATAACGACTGCTTAAGGAGGATTGCTCGTGTTTGGTGGCAACATCGAATTAATAGTAATGACGTTCGATGTCGAATCATGGGGAATGCGAGTATTCCCTTCAACAAACTGATTTTGTTGCGTCAGTTAAGATGGCTCGGTCACGTCCTACGCATGGCACCTGAGCGTCTACCGCGTCGCACTCTATTCGCTCGTCAAGGACTTGGATGGAGGCGACCGCGTGGTGGTCAGCCATCTACATGGCGGCAGCACATGAAATCGCTGACGTCGTGTCTAGCCGCTGTTGGATCCGTACGCCTTCCAGGATGGGGACCGAAACATGAGGAGTGCCAATGGCTGAACACTCTTGAAGACATGGCCCGCAACCGGAACCAGTGGAATAATTGTGTACAGTATTATGTTGATTCACATGTTTAATACTACAAATATTAAAATGACAAAAAGGCAGCAAAACCGGAGTGTAAAAAACGAACTAATGTTTTGTTCTACTTTTTATCAAAATGTTCCATTCTTCCTTGCGGCATATTAGTTGAAGTGTGTTGCTCACCTTCAACTAGCATGCTGCGATGGTTATGACGCGATGAATCTTTTTATCTCCTGATCTCCATGGTTTTGTGCTGGCTCAATGTCTAGTTAATAGAATGTTGAGATTGATTTGGCGGCGTCCGTATCCGGATTTGCCTGTCACTGTGACGTCCATGGGGACAGTCACAGGACGCCTGCGCCTACAGAGGGACTATGGATGGCATGCGCTGCACCACCCACTGTTTCACCCACACACCCCATATCCGGTGTAAACCCGAAGGAATAAGACCGAGAGGCATGTGAATGGGAGCCACGTTTCATCAACGGAGTCGGCCCATACTCCTTCAACAAGCAGAACGGAAGCATTCCGTCCTAATTGGGAAATCATACACACCAGACGTACACGAGGTGGTGGCTGGACCGTAGCCCGTTCCACACAGGATGGGACCACTCTTTGAGCCTAGAACCGCCAAGAGGACGGTGCACTCCGTCCCCTCCAGCGACGACCAACTATCTCCTGGAGCCAGTATGGACGTGGTAGTGGATAATAGACAGGTAGGCACCTTGTCAACATTCACATCAGGCGCATCCACACAGGGGAGCTCAATCAACATCTACTTCTGAAATGCAAGATTACTCATCACGCAGACAAACGTACCACATACGCCGCCTTATTGGCCTGGATTAGTAAATTGAATGGGAACATACTCATGGTGCTTCTATTCCGCATACAATAGTGCCTTCTCCGGCAACTGAGAAACCGCCCTTTTGAGCAGTCCACGGAATTCTCATCGATCAAATTTGCCTTGGATTCGCAACACCTGAAATTAACATGAGTTTTTCATAAACTCACCTTCTTCATGTTCTGGTAATATTATTTTCGGTTTGCTCGAATGTCGTTTTACTGCACTAAGTTAACCGTACAAAAGCGGTATGAAGATCCTCGTGGAATTCATTCGGTATACATTATACATAGATTGGCGTCATCTGTGTCCAACGGCAGTTCGAATACAACATATGTACATGCGTTTATCCAAACTTAAGTGTGAGCTGTCACAAACTGGAAATAGACAAATTAGACATCATGCTCCATGGTACGACAAACATGTAGGTTTCGTTTGCAGGTCAGGCTAACAATCACTTTCGCAGGCATGAGAATAACTACCCAATACGAACTGTTGATGTTTTCTTCTACATTTAGACGTGACTGCCTTAAATCTTGGGCATCCATATTTGAAGGAACCCGATGTGGCAATAGTAAAGCAACTGCTAGGTAGAATGATGACTAGACTACTGGTACAGTGAAATAGTGTGCACTTAGGTGTTGCCCTCTATATGTGCAGTCTGATTTGAGTAGCTGAAAGGGGAGAGCACACAGCGTGCGAATGCGATGCAGTGTCCACTTATGGCTCTCTG